TGACTAGTTATTTACAGAATATAGTGGTGCAATGAGGTATTACATTGGATGGCGCGTTCACTGTAACTCTCTGGGTCAATATAAGTGGTGCAAAGTATTACATGAATGCATTTTGATTGGTTCCATTACATTGAACACGATCATAGCTGTGCATTGGTGTTATTCTATTGATTAGTGTCAATCCCGTGACCCACCAACCCCCCCACGGCCAGACCGCAGTCCTCCACGGAGCACGCGAAGCACGGCGCGAGCTTCACGCCGTGCTTCCGCGTCAGCCCCGTGAGGTCCGACATGCCGACCGGCTACAAACACGCACAAACTAACACAGAAAGAGACCGAAGACGCACATACACACCAGCACGCATTCACCCCACAACACACACCAGAAACCACACCGAAAATAAACGAAATAACAGATAGAAAACACATCCAAACAATTCACCTCACGCTCCTTCCGCTCAGAGAGAGAGAGACAGAGAGAGAGAGATTTGATTTTGATAAACCTTTATTTTCTTATAAAAAACAAACACAAACAAGAATATTGCCTGATGACATTGAGGTCCGATCAATACACAGAAGAACGCCACGATCTCCTCTCAGCCAGTCCGCACCAGGCTCCTCTGCAGCATCAACGCACACCGCCCACTCCGCCGATGAACTGGTAGTCCATCTGGTCACTGGCTCCTCCCCTCCGCCGGTACCCCACTCAGTCCCCAGCAGCCCTCTCGTTGCCACTGTTGATCTTCTGGACAATCTCTCCCAGCCGGAAGACCTCCTGCTGCGTGTATCGGGAACTGCCTCGTTTGCTCGCAGCCTCCCGAGCAGTACGACCGAATTTCTCCATATCCGGAAAGTAGTCCTCCAGCTTAATCCCCTTGATGTTCTTGGTGGTCTTCAGGAAGAGTTTCACCCTCCCCACGCTGTACCGATTGGTGGCCGTCCCGCCAGAGAGAGAGACTCCGCTCCTGCTGCCCCACCCCCCTCTGTCTCTCTGTTCCCTGACCCCTTCTTGGCCTGAGAGCCCCCTCTGCTCTCCGTCTTTCTCTTCAGGCTCCGTCACTCGCCTGCCCCACCTGCTGGGCCCCACTCACCCCTTCATTCGCTCCGTCACTCGCCTGCCCCACCTGCTGGGCCCCACTCACCCCTTCATTCGCTCCGTCACTCGCCTGCCCCACCTGCTGGGCCCCACTTACCCCTTCATTCACTCCGTCACTCGCCTGCCCCACCCGCTGGGCCCCACTCACCCCTTCATTCGCTCCGTCACTCGCCTGCCCCACCTGCTGGGCCCCACTCACCCCTTCATTCGCTCCGTCACTCGCCTGCCCCACCTGCTGGGCCCCACTCACCCCTTCATTCGCTCCGTCACTCGCCTTCCTCACCTGCTGGACCCCACTCACCCCTTCATTCGCTCCGTCACTCGCCTGCCCCACCTGCTGGACCCCACTCACCCCTTCATATCGCTCCGTCACTCGCCTGCCCCACCTGCTGGGCCCCACTCACCCCTTCATTCGCTCCGTCACTCGCCTTCCTCACCTGCTGGACCCCACTCACCCCTTCATTCGCTCCGTCACTCGCCCGCCCCACCTGCTGGGCCCCACCCGTGTCTTCATTTACCCCGTCAGTCCCTCTCTCCACCAGCTGGACCCTGCATCCCCCCCCCCTCACTCACTGCATTCTTCTGGACTTGACCTGTCCCCGTTTCACCTCCCTGTTGGACCCCAACTGTCCCCTCTTGTCTTGCCTGCCCACCTTGGCTGTGACCAGTAGAGGTCTTCTCTGGACATGTCCTGCTCAGATGTCCCTCTCTGCCACACCGGTAACATTTCGTGCTGTCAGAGTTGACAAACACCACATAGTCAAACCCATCCACTCTTAATTTGAACACCACGTTCAGATCCTCGTTTTTTTTGTTGAGGATCATGTAGAGCGTCCTCGTGTGAGATACCACGTGTCTCAGGAGAGGGGATTTGAGACCCGAGGACATCTTATTAATGGGAGACACGACCATCCCGTGTCTCGACAGTTCTCTGGTCAACATCTCGTCCCTGATGAACGGGGGCACGTTAGAGACCGTGACTCGGGTCGCTGGTGTGGCGAGAGGCAGGACGGGCACGAACGTCTCGTTCACCACGATCTCCTTCTCCACCACCATGTTGGCTTTGTCCACGCTGTCCATAAACATCACCACCGCGTTGTTCATGCGGGCGGCGGACTTTACGCTGCCGTGACCGACCATCTCTCCCACGGCCAGGCTGCAGTCCTCCACCGAGCACGGGAAACCCGGCGGAACTTTAACGCCGCGCTTCCTCGTCAGTCGGGTCAGGTCCATGGTGCCGTTTAGCACGCCGACCAGCGCAAGCCGATCAGCCGCAAAAACGCGCACTGCACAAACACAGACCTCTAAAAACCAAGTCCACACAAACTATCTACGTTCTAAACACACACAGTCCAACAAGCAAAAACAAAAGAGACAGAGTAAACAAACATCTGCATTCTAGCCTGAACAGTTGTTCCCCCCCAGGCTAAAGGCCGCCGCGTGTTTCTGCGTCTGCGTCGACGCGCTGGTTTCACTTCCTGCTTGTAAAGTCCTGCGTGTGTTGCAGAGCGATTCACCTCCAGAACAACAGGTGGAGTCACGTGTTTTGTTGAAGACGACCTGGAGAGTCACGTCTTTGTGTGTGGAAGTCGCTGGTGGCTTTATTTATTGATCATAGACTTTATTGCCCCGTGCATCCACACTGCTGCTTTTCATCAAGGACACATTTGTCCCGTATTTTCCTCCACGACTTTGTTCCCTCGTTTGTGGAGATCTCCCTCCATGAATCAGAGGCCATCCGGCGTCCTCATAGTCCGCCAATGACGGCTCATATTTACGCATTTCTTCCCACAAAAGCTCCTCAGTCTGATCCGTTACCCTGGACCAAGACGTCGGAGCCCAAAGTGTAGCTGCAGATGAACACACACTGCGTTACGCCGCGTATCACACAGTGTGTCATGAGTCTGCTGCAAGGGGCCCTTTGTTTCCTTCTACTGCGCCTCGCCAGTATTCATCTGTGATTGGACGCCTTCTCCTTCCAGCTTTTCTCCTCCCTCCACTGCGGGAGATTCTGACTCTTGACTTGTTGTTGTTGTTTTCTCTGGGGGGGGGGGGTTGTCTGCATAGTCTGTCAATCATGAATTAGTCGACATCTCATCACTATTAGATTGGATTGGTTTGTCAGGTAGGTGAGGGAGGAAAATCCACTTTCGCAAAGATAAGTTGTTGCAAAGGGCAAAAGGCTCATCATTGCTTTTGGTTGTGGAAAGTCTTTGTGGCCAGAGATCCAGAACTGTGTGGTTTGGTTTGGTAAATGTTTCTGAACGTACGGTCAGTGGATAGTTGGATGAGCTGATCCTCCTCTGTCACTGTCAGGCGTGTGCCGTCTGCTGCGTTGTCTCTGGATGGAAACTGTCTCCAAGCCTTGTCCCTGCGCCGGGAGTCAGCCTCAGAAAAGTACTTCCCACATTGTCCTTCCAGCGCCTCCACAAGAACTGCGCGTGTTGCGGGAGGCGAGAGCACAGCAGCACAAACCGGAAGAAGACGTGAGGGAGACGCGTAGAAAGTCACCAAGCTTCACTTTAACGTCTTAAAGTGTCACATCGTGTGAGTATGTCCCGTGACACACAGCGTGTGTTTACTGTGTGTTTGTGTGTTAACGGGCCGTCAACCTTTGCAAAGTTCCTTTACCGTTTAGACGAAAAATACGGAAATCAAACGAAAATACGGAAATAACACCGTTTTATTTGAGTTTTTTCGCTTTAAACCAAAAGAGTAAATGTCATTTTCTGTCCAAATCCAAACACGAAAAAACGACCGATCTGTTTTTCTGTAAATCCTTTTTTGTTTGTTCCTTTTAAAACGAAACCGAAGCGCAGCCGCTAAACCGGAAGTGCGCACATTTTAACAGTAAAACGCAATAGAACGTTTGTACGATAGAAATCCGTCTGTGACGCAACAATATCTATAATATAGCAGAGTAACATTAGAAGAATGAATATGAAACGTCATCGTGTGTTAACAACAGCAGTTGACTACACGCAGACACATTTACATTCATCCACGTACACAGATACTCATTCATCTGTGCGCTGTTTGATGCAATATAGTTATTAATATAGTAACAACACATTTATTACTGTAGGTAATAACACAGTTTGTGGTGGCAGACTCGTTGCTGTTGGCTCTGATATTTATTTCTAGTATTGTTGTGTTGCTTCAGTGATCAGAGACACTTTAAGGAGAGTAAACGTGTTCACATCTCCACCACTAGGGGGCAGAATACGACTATTTAAAGCAGTGGTTCTCAGCTGGTCTGGTGGCTCGTTTGTGAGAGATCTGCGGTCTTCAGTTCATTTACTTATTTTTGTGTAGGTAATATGTTTCAACTTAAATGACCTTTACAAGTAGTTGTGTCCCGTTGTTTTCATTTGTCCAGTTATTGACGTGTCTGATGCTCAACCAGATATTTGAATATATTAGAATATGTGTTTTTATGTCGTGTTTGAGCAGTTTTGGCCGCCCGAGCCAGTAGCAGGTTCATGAGTCTCTGAAAAGCGTCTGAGGCCTTGCGCAGCCAAAAGGCATCAGGTGGGACAGAAGCAGAGACGTCAGAAGCTCTGGACGTAAGAGGGACCTGCCAGTGTCCCTTCAGCAGGTCCAGCGTTGTGACGTAGGTAGCTGCACCCATACGGTCTGCACCGTCCTCCATACGAGGCCACGGAAACGGCTCTGCTACGTGACGGCCTTCACTTACGTTGGTCTGTGCAGAAACGCGGGGAACCATCCGACTCGGGTCAATGGGCCCAAACACGAGGTTTATTTTAGTGGTAAAGTTCAGTCACACGTGACTCAATGACATATAAGGCTGAACAAATAGAACTACATGCATTCATTCACCCGCAACAGCTCAATCAGTTTAGACCAGAAATAGTTCTCATGGAGAAAAACCGACGCACAGCAGTGACGTTGCACGCGCCCAGTTTATTGTGTTAATAGCCGACACGTTGAACCCAGACAGCAAGGGGGGACCTGCAGTAAGACATGAGATGTTAGCTCTCAGCTCAGGGAAGCACCTTGAAATGTGTCATTTGGGGTAAAATGTTTTACTTTGGCAGCAGTGAAGCACTTTAAACATTTTTCATTAGATTTTAATATACAGGACTGTCTCAGAAAATTAGAATATTGTGATAAAGTTCTTTATTTTCTGTGATGCAATTAAAAAAAAAAACATGTCATGCATTCTGGATTCATTACAAATCAACTAAAATATTGCAAGCCTTTTATTCTTTTAATATTGCTGATTATGGCTTACAGCTTAAGAAAACTCAAATATCCTATCTCTAAATATTAGAATATTTCCTCAGACCAAGTAAAAAAAAAGATTTATAACAGCAAAACAAAATCAAACATTTGAAAATGTCCATTAATGCATTCAGTACTTGGTTGGGAATCCTTTTGCACGGATTATTGCATCAATGCGGCGTGGCATGGAGGCAATCAGCCTGTGGCATTGCTGAGGTTTTATGGATGCTTCAACAGCGGCCTTCAGCTCATTTGCATTGTTGGGTCTGGTGTCTTTCAGCTTCTTCTTCACAATACCCCACAAATTCTCTATGGGGTTCAGGTCAGGGGAATTGGCAGGCCAATCGAGGGCAGTAATGCCATGGTCAGTACACCAGTTACTGGTGGTTTTGGCACTGTGGGCAGGTGCCAGATCATGCTGGAAAATGAAATCCTCATCTCCACAGAGCTTCTCAGCAGACGGAAGCATGTAGTGCTCTAAAATCTCTTGGTACACATCTGCATTTACTCTGGACTTGATGAAACACAGTGGACCAACACCAGCAGCTGACATGGCTCCCAAACCATCACTGACTGTGGGAACTTCACACTGGATTTCAAGCAACTTGGATTTTGCTCCTCTCCAGCCTTTCTCCAGCCTCTGGCGCCTTGACTTCCAAATGAACACTTGCTTTCGTCTGAAAAGAGGACTTTGGACCACTCTGCAACTGTCCGGTGCTTCTTTTCCACAGCCCAAGTCAGACGCTTCTTCCGTTGTCTTGAGTTCAGAGGTGGCTTGACCACGGGAACACGGCTATTGGAGCCCATTTCCCCGACACGTCTGTGAACAGTGGCTTTTGATACCTGGACTCCAGCTTCAGTCCACTGTCTTTGAAGCTCCCCCAAATTCTGGAAGCGACTCTTCTTCACAATGCTGTTACGGCTGCGGTCGTCTCTCTTGGTTGTGCAGCGTTTCCTGCCACATTTCACCTTCCAACAGACGTTTGTGGATGTGCTTTGAAACTGCACTCTGTGAACAGCTTGCTCTTTGAGAAATGTCTTTTTGTGTCTTACCCTCCTGATGGAGGGTGTCAATGATGGTCCTCTGGACAGCAGTCAGATCAGCAGTCTTCCCCATACTTGTGATTTAGTTTACTGAACCAAGCTGAGTGTTTTTCAAGGCTCAGGAAACCCTTGCAGGTGTTGAGTTTTGTTTTTTTAATTGCATTACAGAAAATAAAGAACTTTATCACAATATTCTAATTTTCTAAGACAGTCCTGTACAGTATAGTTGTGCTTCAACTATAACCTGTATTATTTACCGACACCTCATGCTTGTTTTAAATGATTTACATAGTATATATATATGAATGAATATGGCGCGTGATCAACAAATGACCGTGACATTGTGGCGTAAAGGCGGCGCGAGGGAGAACGTGTGTGCGGCTGAATGAAGACGCACCAGTAAGCTGGTAGACGGTCCGTCTGGAGCCGCGCGTCACATCTCCCACCTGCTGGAGGTCATAGTTCTCAATGTGGACAAACTGACTACAGACGAGTCGCTCAAACAACTGACTCGCTGCCTGAAAAGTCCCAAAGTCACATCACGTGGATTAAATATAACGTTGTATTATTTCCCTCTGGCGTCGCTGCCTGTTGCTGAGGTGAAATGCATTCTGGGATATTTGGCGCTCACAAGCGCGGACGAGCCAGCCGCGATGCATTGTGGGTGAAATGGGCGGGGCGAGTCACATCCGGGTAGTATGACCGTTCTCGGCCAGATGCGGACTTCCTGTGAGACTCTGAGGACAGAAACTGCAGAACAACACGAGCTTTCACGTCAGACGCCACAAAAGTCTCCAGTGAAACCAGATAAGGTCGCTGGTCGCTTTGACAAGAAGACACCGACAGGGTTCATGACGTCACTGCACCAAACGACCAGGGAGCCTGCGCATGCGCACACCTCAAGAAGTCAACATGACTTCCACTCTTCATGAGAAAGAGGCGGTTTCACGTCTCACACATAAAGCAGGAGGTGAAGCGGCTCGGGGACTTTCCTCACTGCAGAAACAGCAGATTAAATCCATAATTCCCGTGAGAAGCGGCAGAGGTAAGACGTGTGTGTGTGTGTGTGTGTGTGTGTGTGTGTGTGTGTGTGTGTGTGTGCGTGTGTGTGTGTGTGTGTGTGTGTGTGTGTGTGTGTGTGTCTTTGCTGGCTCGCTGTGTGTTTCACAGTAACTCTGCAGGCTTTGTCTCACTCAATGATTCATAATCCACCGATTCGCTGCTGTTCTTTGGCTCCAACGTCCGCGAGCTTCAAGCACCGACAAAATGTCCCACTCGGTCCAAAGGTTGTGGACAAACCTGCACGTCATATGTGACTCTTCCTCACCAGCTAAAGGTGTGTTTGGAGTATTTTAATGTGGATTCCAGCTTATTGTAGTCAGGACTCTGCCGAATAAAAAAAAGATAATGCGTTGATGTATTTCATCATGATATATACCCTAAATAATGGTTTCCGGTGTTACACCCCTACTGGTTTTTCCACCTACTGGTTTCCCTACGCGTGCGTGTTTGTGTTCACTCCACAGCTGCAGATGTGTCCGCCTCAGTTCCCTGATTCGTCACACATTCACAAACATATTGCTGAAAATCTTCAAAACGCATCACAAATCCATTGCAGCGTTTACGATTGTATAAGTGAGCACCACATCACGGCCACGTATGAAAACATTTATATAAAAAAATATATTAAAGGAAAGATCGGCACAACCTGGATTCGAACCCGGGGGATCAAAACATCAAAATGGTAACCTGGCGGCCGCTCTTAGCAGTGCGCCACGGAGACACACAGAAAATTATTGACCCTTAGTATAATTTATTCATTTTGTTGACGTAGATAATGGAGGAAACCTTTTGGTGTCGTGGATTTAAAACAACTGGTTACCTTGGGCGTGTCTTGGAACACTTCAGGACATGTGCAACGCTACTTCTTCACGAGGCTGCAGCCTTGCAGCGACACATTTTGATAAAGAAAGGATATTGTTTTCTTACGGCCATCGCGTGACGTAAACCACAGACACGAACAAAACAAAGTTTAGAAAATATATTAAAAGATCGAACCGACCAGGTTGCGAACCCATGCAGCAAAATGCAACCGTATCAAACTTCTGCTAGCGCTATGCGCTGCGCCACGGGGCAGTACGCAGATTTAGGACTTAATATATTAATTAAACGTGATTGACACGGAGGAAACCTTCTGGTGGAGGGGATCTAAAACAACTGGTTACCTTGGGCGTGTCTTCCGTGACATCCATTTGTGGTTCCACTGAGTTTGCACTGAGAAACCACCTTTGGAGCAGGACTTCTGCTGTCCAGCATGCTTTCTTTAGAGCTACTTTATTTTGTTTTTCAATGATTTATTTATTGTGACTGTTAAAACACAATTATTTAATAAAATTTCCTTTTGGGAGCTTTATAAGGTATTTGATTTTTAGTATTTGATAATAGAAGTTTTGCAAGTGTACGATCTGTTTCACTTAATTCCTTCACTTTTTGTGGGTCCATCTCTTGTTCGGAAAGATCGTATGTACGACCTCATGGGGTTTTTCATGTGTTCCAAGACACGCCCAAGGTAACCAGTTGTTTCAGATCCACGACACTAGAAGGTTTCCACCACGCCAATCACCATCTACTAATATATTTTATGACGAAACCCTGTGTACTGCCCCGTGGCGCAGCGCATAGTGCTAGCAGCAGTTTGATACGTTTGCATTTTGCTGCATGGGTTCGCAACCTGGTCGGTTCGATCTTTTAATATATTTTCTAAACTTTGTTTTGTTCGTGTCTGTGGTTTACGTCACGCGATGGCCGTAAGAAAACAATATCCTTTCTTTATCAAAATGTGTCGCTGCAAGGCTGCAGCCTCGTGAAGAAGTAGCGTTGCACATGTCCTGAAGTGTTCCAAGACACGCCCAAGGTAACCAGTTGTTTTAGATCCACGACACCAAAAGGTTTCCTTCATGCTGATCTACGTTAACGAAATGAATAATTTATACTGAGGGTCACAAATTGCTGTGTGTCTGTGTGGCGCACTGCTAAGAGCAGCCACAAGGGTACTATTTTGACGTGGCCGTGATGTGGTGCTCACTTATACAATCGTAAACGCTGCAATGGATTTGTGATGCGTTTTGAAGATTTTCAGCAATATGTTTGTGAATGTGTGACGAATCAGGGAACTGAGGCGGACACATCTGCAGCTGTGGAGTGAACACAAACACGCACGCGTAGGGAAACCAGTAGGTGGAAAAACCAGTAGGGGTGTAACACCGGTACTGGTTCTGGTCCGGTTTTACGTCCACATGTCGATTCCACCATCACGTGTTTTGGTTCTGTGAGATTAAACGTTCTTCTCTTTCCTCACATCTGTTTAAAAAGGTCGTGTTTATCAAAGTTGAAATGTGAATATGGTGGATAGAAAGTGTGGATTCATAGTTCTCACAGTGCCGACGTTTCCTGAAAGCAACACAGTTGAGGACACGCCCCTCACGTGATGCCACGCCCTCTAAGCAGATCAGGGCCAGAAGTCAGAGACAAAGCAGACGTCCTCTTTTACCCGGTAGTGATGGGAATTACGCCTCTTTTTAGAGAACCGGCTCTTTCGGCTCCCAAATGGCTCTTCTGATTTTTTGGTGCTTAAATTAATTTATCACCAACAATAATGTAAAATTATGCGCAATATGAATTACTAATGTAAAAAAAACACTGTCAAATGTTTTTATATAAATACACTTTTATTTATACACTCTACAGAGTGATAAAAAAAAATAGTGCAAAAACAAACGTTTAACTATTTACAAATGAACTTAACTAACTTTTAATTATTTTAAACTTTTTAATACTTAACAAATTTAAAGTGAAACAACATACAGAAGCTTACAGAATCACACAACAACATATAAATTAAAATGTGTAAAACAAAAAGAAAAAAAGTCAGCATGCAGAGTTTTGTCCTTCAGGGAAGATTTACATTGAGACCAAGTGGCTCCGCTTTGAGGGGCTGATCCTGTTTCTTCTCTCTGAAATTATCTGCCCTGTTTTGGAGAAGATAGAGATTTTAGTCTTGCAGACTCTACATTCTGCATTAGATAGATCAATGTCATTGACATGTGTCCAGATGTTGCTGCGTTTCCTGTTGACACTCACTTTTGTAACTTTTATTTTACCGCTCTGTTTCTCTCTTGACTCCTCCCTCCTGTTCGCTGCTGCTGTGTGTAAGTCCCGCCCCTCCGCCCTGTGCTCAGCGCAGACACGCCCCCACACATATTGACCAATCAAATGCGGCTTGAGAGAGAGAGAAACAAAGCGGCTCCCGTCGTTCGCGTCAAAGAGTCGCTCTCAGAGCCGGTTCGTTGGCGACCGACACGTCGCTAGTATTTCTAGTACCGGTACACCGAGCAACACTCTGGTGGAATATTTCATTGTAACTAGTTCGGGAGAAGAGAATCATTTATTTCTATGGTTATCTAATAAAAACAAAGTCTTGATGAATGATCAAAGTCGTAAAAGTCAATTGATTTCTTGCTAGCAGGAGGTCAAATACACGCGCACGTATTACAGAGCTCTGTGGAGACGCGTCTCCGAGCAGCGCTGAGCTTTTATACACACACATGAAGGTCGTCTCCAGTGGCCAGTATGACAAATTGCGAAGTGAGATATGAAGGTTGAGATGAAGTAACAGACAGTTCCTTTGTTCCAGCGTTTGTGTGAGAGCAAGTTGACTCGCCCTCCTTTCTTTAGACTCCGCTGCAAATGGAAACGTTGGGTCATTCTGCTTTTCACACGTCAAGCTTCAATATAGACAATCTTATGCTAAAAGGGATCATTATGTTCTGACATGTTTGACCATGACACATGTCATGTGATACTGGACTGTTTTACTGACTTCTGGACTCTGAAGGAGATGAAGAGGAGAAACAGCACAGCTCCATCTGCTGGAAGATGAGTGCTAATGTTCATCTTTTAAATCATTACATGTCATTTAGCTGACGCTTTTATCCAAAGCCACTTACAATAAGAGCGTTTCAACCATAAGGACACAAACCCAGAAGAACAAGAAACAACAAAGTGCACTTTCATCAAATAAGCCACTTTACAACTTTCTGTAGATAAGAACCATTATAAGTCCAATGTAAGTGCTGCAGTTAGTTAGTGTGTTAGTGGAGGTAGAGTCTGGAGAGGTGTGTCTTTAGTCTGAAGATGTGAAGGCTCTCTGTGGTCCTGATGTCTTCAGAGACCTCCTTCCACCATTTAGGAGCAGGACAGCAAAGAGTGGAGATCTAGTCCAGTGTTCAATCAATCAATGTACGAGCGTGCTATAACAAGCTTATTAACATTGCTAACGAGGTGTCTTGCTAGCGGCTAAACATAGCGATATATGATACAGATCTCATGTTGTCATCCTGCATGCTGAGTTTTAGTAGCCTATATAGTGATTTAACATAAATAACGTCCTGATGGGCCGCTGCCTCCTGCCAAAGGAAAGCGCTTAAAAGAAACACA